ATATATTTGAATATAACATAACATAACTCATAGACGATAGCACATAGAGTGAGACACGATCAATATCGCGATAGAGACAACAGAATGGATGGAAATTGAGCAATGGTGACAACAAGGCGGGTAATGGATGAAATTGAGCAAGGGAGACAACGGTAGAGCAGCAACGTGGGTGACATAGATGTAGGTGGGGCGAGGAATTGATGAAATTGAGCAAGCTTGTATCCTTAAGGGATACAAGCAATAAGGCGGGTGACAAAGCTATAAGTGGGGTGAGGAGTGTCGGAGGGTAAAGAAGAGAGAGGTCAACGGTATGAGTTCAAATGTAGAATTTTTTTTTTTTTTGGTATTAATTGTGTCACAAAAATAAACATTATATGTTCACCTTATTTTTCAAAGTATCTGTTCATTTTAATTTCAAGTATTTGTTCATCTATTCATCGTATTTGTTCATCTGTTCACCATATTTGTTGATCTATTCACCATATTTGTTATATTTGTTCATATGTTTACCATATTTGTTCATCTGTTCACCGTATTTAATGTTCATCTGTTCACTGTATTTGTTCATCGTGCTTATTACTGTATTTATTCGTATTTGTTCATCATGTTTGTTACTCTATTTGTTTCCATCTTTGGTATTGGTATTTTTTGTTTCTAAAATGATTTTCTTGTTTAAATTTTGGTATCTCTATTTCTAAAATGAATTTTTTTGTTTAAATTTTGTTTTAGATTTTAATTTAATTAATATTTTTTCCTTTTAGGTTTTTTAGTAAAATTGTCTCGTAAAAATTTTTGAATTAAAAAATATAGGTAAGATTCTCAAAATATTTGAATGATTCATAAAAATATATATATATATATATATATATATATATATATATATATAAAAGTATGATTCTCCTATAGAAAGGGTAATTTAAAAATTTAAAAATCATGGAAGGGTAATTTCGTACCAAAAAATTAGTTGAGATTTTCCTATTTTTAAGTTGGCTATTTTTCAAAACTGAAAGTTTTTTGGCGATTTTTTGAAATGACTTATTTTAAATAGTTATATCTCTTGTTAGTCCAAATAAATAATAAACTTTGATTTTCATTGAATCCTTTATTTTAACATTTATGTTTTCTGATTACCAATCAAATGCACCCTTATATATCGGAGACTAGTTTTGCCACTTGGACAAGACTAGTTCGTCCAAATAAAAACAACAATAACTTCTAATTATTTTTTAAAATAATTATATTTAGAATAATTAATTTAATTTTTCCAATAATTAAAACATGTCTTAAAAATAAGCTTTGGTTCAGTTCAATAATTATTTTGTTTTAAATTTTATTAACTATTTATTCGTTTTTGGTTTTTCAAAAATATACTTTTAAAAACTTACTCAAATTTTGAAGGAAAAAAAATCTGGAAACTCATATACTTTTTAATTTAGTTAGAAATTTAATTTCTTTTTAAAAAATTAAAATGACAAAATTAAGAAAATTAATTTGGAATAAATATACAAAATATAATAGCTACAAAATGAGACTAAATTATTTAATAGTGTTAATAATTTCTTATTATGAAATTTAAATAAAGCTAAGAGGGGTCCCATGGTCTAGTGGTTAGGACATTGGACTCTGAATCCAGTAACCYGAGTTCAAATCTCGGTGGGACCTTAATTTTATTTATTTTTATAAAGCCTTTCATTTGCTTCTCTTCGATGGAAGTTTTATTTTTCCATAATGTATTCTAATTTTTTTGCCTAATTCTTTTTCTCCTTCGATGCCTCCCTGTGATCCTTCTCTTTAGCTAATGTGAAAGAAATTTTCATGTAAATTATATATTATCATATACGTTCAAATCATATATCAAGATGAAATATAATTTAGACTTATATTATTATTTTTTTGGTATCAAATGTTTTTGTATAATTATCAAATTTTCCATATAAACTACAGGCTATTAGAATTAGAAAAATATAAACTGTGGCATAATTATAATGAGATATAGAATGAATCAGTAGAATTTAAATATCTAAAATCTAAAAGATATCAATGCGGTTAATAAATTTTAGATCATTTCAAAAGGTTAAAAAGAATATTTTATCAATTAATATCTATTTAAAACGTGAATAAACCTCCATACAAAATCAAGTCATATCCTAATTTTTAGACCTTTTAATTATTGGCATAAAATTAAATCATTAAACTTTACTTTTTTTTTTTAAACAAAATCACATTTATACACAAATCATTCAGGTACGCATTTAGACATCAATTTTTAAGATCGAAATTTCAGAAGTTGAAAGTAAAAATAGAAATATTAAAAATCCGTTTAAATAATGAATTTGGATGGTTGTATTTACGTAATTTGTAAATATATCTAAATAATAAAATGTTGAACTTAATGAACAAATGGTCCCATGGTCTAGTGGTTAGGACATTGGACTCTGAATCCAGTAACCCGAGTTCAAATCTCGGTGGGACCTTTTTCTTTTTTATTGTTTATATATTTTACATTTTGCCTCATTTAGTCACTTTACACTCCCTTTCGTTCAACAGTAAATTATTTGATATATAAATGTCAAATGATATTAAATTATATATTACTTTAAAAAAATATTAAATTACACTTTCGTTGTTTACTTTTAAAATTCTCACAAATTTTGAATTTTTATATTAATTTAATCTATATAATAGATTAAATAATTTAAATCTCACGGACTATTCATTAACTATCTTTTATACCCACTTGAAAAATCCACCAATTTCCTTCTTCTTTTCCTTTTTTTTTCCAGTGCTAAGCTCTTACAAATTGTTCCTATTATTACTGTAGGATCAAATTTGTAATTTATCCAAAATTTTATCTTTCATTTTAGCCCTCATTTTCTACGTAACTTTTGTTTTAGCCGGTTTTTTTTTATATATATTCACATTTTACCCTTTCTTTTCTCCAAAATTAAAAGACATCCCTTTTTAATTGAAATATATTTTTAGACTGAAAGGAATATTTTGTTACATAAACTTCATAAGTTGTCTATAATTTTAATAATGTAAATATATTATACTCTCTGTTTTTTTTTTCTTCTTTTCTTAGATTTTGTTGGTATATAAATTTATCCTTTATAATTTAAAAAACTTTTACAGTTTCCAGCCAAGTTATTTGAGTGTGATATAGATTGAAATCTAATATTAAATTTATCTTACATGAACATATATAATTTCAGATAGATTGTCAATCTGAACTAGGTAGTAATTTGTGTTTACGTTGTACCCCTTTCTTCAATTATTTAAGTCTCTTTCCGCAAGGGTGAGTGGTTTCTATGTTAGTTTTTTATTGTGGTGCTTCAGAATTTTGTCCAAATAACTAAATCATTTTTTCTAGTAGATTTAAAGAATGGGTGACTTTCCAAGTTGCTCTTATACATATATTTTCTTTTTTGTCCCTTCTCACTTGAAACCACTTAATACACTCTAAGTATTTGAACCAACTTACTTTTTTCACATTTAATGATTTAATAGATTTGATTTTATATTTCTATCAACTAAATTTTAGTCTTAAGCTGGACCATCTCTCATTCTTCCGAATTTTTCTTTCAAGAGTAGCTGGGACCAAAACAAGGTATGATTTTAAAGTTGTTGGGAAATTAGGCAATCCAACAATTTCCCCTTCCACGTTTATATCTAGTTATCTAACTCAATCACACAACACAATGAGAAATATAGAGAAAACAATAAACGACACAAGTAAAATGAGATTGAATACAAGCACTAAAAAATATATCTCCTAGATATTAACTCCGTAGAGGTCCCAACAAAAGCCCATAGCTTCTAAGTATTTGAACACAATGTACTTAGGTACAATAATGAAAAACAGTCACATAATAATTAAGATCTAAATTACCCCAAAACAACGATCTCGATCTGACCTTTTTTGTTACTGCCAATACCCGACTCGCTGCCTCTGATTTGCTACACAAAATCCCCTCAAAAGGCTGCTTAATAATCACCCATGACTGCCCCTTTGATTTGTAATTAAATCCACGGCTCAAACCTAAACGAAAATCAAAAGAATCCTTTTATATTTGACGTAGTGTCTCAACGCTACAACCATTACAACATCATTCATCTGCGTGCGTCCCTTTTTTCTTTTGAAATTTTGTTGCAGTGCCACGACGTTGTGCTCTTAGCCAAAATGACCTTGCAGCGCCTCTCTTCCATTTTTCATTCCTTCGACATCCCGATGCATCCCGACTTGCCCCTGACTCGTTCCAACGTAGATTTGGCTCCACTAATCCCAACAAAAGTCACTCAGGTGTCAGTTCATAACTACTCTACTCTATCCCATCTCATCCAATGCATTACAATAAATATTCATTTACCTTACGAAAAGAAAGTTGGACGCCTCTCATTGTACATGAATGATGTTAACAAGTCTATTATTACAAGACCATCTGAAGATAAGGATATGACATGAGTTCTAACAATACGTTTATGTCGAATGAGTTGGGGCGTGATATTGTCGTGGATATTCTCTTTATGGATACAAACATCGACCCAGAGAAACGTTTTAAGTGCACCAAATTGGTAAATGTGTGAAATTTAGAAATGGTGAAAGGTGGAATGTTTTGTATTTCAATTTTGAAATATTTTATCTTTACTTATAATTAATTATAAAGCTTTAATTGGATTTAAATTTCAAAAATTTTATAACTTTTTCACCCTCCACGAGTATAAAATGAGTTTTTTTCTTGCAATATTATTTCACCAACATAATTGAATTACATCATCTGTTGATTTATAGACCATTTTTTACTATAATTATTTTTTCAATAGATAGTAATATATTTTTTTAATCTTTGATTGGTGAAAATTTAAAAAAAAGAAAAGAAAAATTACGTGTACTTGCACTGGCAATACACTATAGATATTTTATTAATATCTGTTTATGTATTTTAATGATTAGTTTGTTCAAAACTAAATATTATTTTTCTGGTTATTTTTTATTTATTTTTATGATGCATTCAGTTTCAGATAAGCTTTGTTCTACGGATGAGGCGCGCCAAGGCCTCTCTGCAGCTACCAAACTTCCATTCATGGCGTTTCCTTTATCTCCAGCCGTTCTCTGTCGCCGGTTATCTTTCTCGGCTGCTCCTCACATTACGAAACACATTTTTCTTCATACGCATTGCGAAGCTCGCTTTAACCGCCCCTCGATTCTCCCCAAACTTTCTTCCATAACTGCAAGTACCTCATCAATGGTTGGTTCCGATTTCACTCTAAAGTTGTTTTAAATCAACATTGTGAGTGCTGTTTGCCTATTCAATTGCTTGCACAAAAGCCTTCTCTAATTTCTCACTTGTTCCGGTGAGTTTAGTTGCCTATCTTGGTGGGAAGTGTGTGGCGATTTTCAAAGCAGATAGAATTTGTTTTCCTGGAAATAGATTTAAGTTTCTGTGTAAAAGGAAAAGAGAGAAATCGTATGAATGTGCCACCTCTATTGACATTTTGAAGTCGAACTTTGCTTTTGTTAATCTGTGCTAGTCGATTTCGTGTAATTTATCATGTAGAGAAGTATCCAGATAAAGAAATGATGCTTGATTTCACTAGGTTGGAACAGTTGGTTAGTGAGCTCTTTCATACATTCAGACATTGTCCAGGAAACTATTTATACACTGTTGATCGGACTGAGGGATTGGTTTTCTTTTTATTTTGTGATCCTGAGTTTCTGAATAGAGTTTCAGCCATGCAGGAATTAGAGGACCAACATAACTGTCTCCAAAAGTCATGTATTTCAGCCTTTGAACGTGGAAAGAGGGAAATTGGGAAGTTAATTACTTTGATCCTTATATGTATCCAAGTTTCTTCTCCATTGCCCTTGTTGAGTTGGGACTTTCAATTGATCCATCCTGCAGTGGCAGTACTTTATTCGCCTGATACCAAGGTTCCAAGAACAGGAGAACTTGCATTGAGGAGAGCAATTCCTGCAAACACAAGTATGAAGGCGATACAGGTTGTTGCTGAGATTCTACTATGTACCTTTTTTCTTTTTATGGTAATCATTAATTTCTCAGCCAAACTGTTTTTCCTTCTAGGACTCTTTAGAAGAGCTATCATATTTGCTAAGGATTCCTCAGAGAAAGCCTTTTGGAACTATGGAGGGCAATGTGAAGAAAGCTCTTAAGGTAACATATTGATATAACTGTACTTCTTCATTGATGTAGTACATAAAGTAAAACCTGAACCAGAAGATCATCGCTTGTAGGAATACAATTTCATTCTTTCCTTAATCATTAGGTGTCATTTATGAGTTCACTTCAGTTTTACTTTTGTTTCCGCTTTTATTCCTCATTTTGATGTAATCATGTACATAATAGTTGGAGCACTTACATGTTCCAATTTGACTGTCTTTTTTTGGCTGATATCAGCTGGCAGTTGATGAAAAAGACTTGATTTTGGGAAGTATACCACCAGACTCGAAGGAAAAAGGTTCATCATTATACACAACTCTTATTGATGGCAAGGTACATAAGGGCAGAGCTCTGTTTAACTTGTAAATCTGTTGAATATCTCCACTTATTCTTTCTTCTAGAAAACTAGTGTTGATTGAAATTAAACGAGGAGATTGTAACAAGCCTTTGACCTAAGAAGTATGTACAGAAACATGCAAGATGCATATGACATTAACAAACCCCAATTGTACACTTTTTATTTATAAAAAAAAAAGAATAAATAAAGAAACCAAACATGTCTAGGATACATAATATAAAATAATAACATTTCATTCTTAACTTTTATTTATTCTTATAAAGCATTGACTGTTTCAATGATGTGCCTGCAATGGCGCAATGTGTCATCGAATTATTGTAAACTAAAAAAATCATATCAATGAATTTAAACTCCTGTCAGGATTCATGTGCTGTACTGTTTAGTGCTTTTTGAACACAATCCTCCGCGTAAAATGAGGTGTTGGTGCTTCATAAAATTTGATCATCATGATTTTAACCTTTTGGAGTTCTCTCTAGCTATCAAAATTAAGTTTTCAAAGGTCAGAACTTAATATGTCTTACACTGACTTTGGTTTGATAAATAGGTCTTTCAGCTGTTTAACTGTCCCAGAAAACAGTATGTCGTGGGGTGATTTTAGTGGCTAGATAGAATGATAAATAAGAATTGAAGTTATGTGATATTGGAATTACAAATTTATACAAACTTAAAGTCCTATTCTCTCTTTCTTTATCTTTCATCTATGCATTTGGTATTTATTTATTTTTTTTCATGATTAGGTTTTGGTTAAATTTATTGATCGTTCCAGAAACTAGATGAACAAGATAACATTTCTTTGATTCTCAGGGTGGACTGCAAACTCTCCTTGAAAGTATTAGGGATAAGGACCCAGATAAAGTGTCTGTAGGACTTGCATCATCACTTGATACTGTTGCAGAGTTGGAATTGTTGCAGGTTAGCATGTTAAACTAATTAAAGAACTACCCAATACATTCCATGGGGAAAATGTTGCTTTGTACTCGGTAGAGATGTTGGAGTTACATCTTCTTTTAATTTTTGGAAGTCTGCTTGGTTTTAGTCTAGGAACAATATTATCTGGCTCATGTTTTTTGCTTTTCATGTGGTTCATGTCGTATATTTTCCTTAGCATTCTTTTCTAACAGGCCCCTGGATTGTCATTTTTATTGCCTGAGCAATACTTGAAGTATCCAAGGTCAGTGATTGTTCCAATAATACTTGATTTCCTGTTTGAACATTGCTTTTGCACCCGTATATCCTTTCTTATGACCCTCAAACTGAAATTTACTAGGATTAAGGATTAGCTTAAAAGAGTCAATACAGATGGTTATTGTCATGATACATTCACGTATTTTAGTATAGCAAAATATAAAACCACATTTCAAACGAGGATTTACGTCATAAGCCTTGTTGTACAGATAAATATCCCTAAACCAAACTTGGTTAGATTCTGTGTCACAGTGGTGACATTATACTGCTAAAATCCTAAATGTTCTGCTATCCTAACTAAGACATCGTGGTTCATTTAATCTAAAATAAATACGACAGATGTATTAATCTTAGACCGACAAATTATACAATTGATTCCTTCAATGGATTTTGCATTAGGATGACTCCTTCGTTTCATGAAATATTGCTTTTTGTAATCTTGATTGCCGTGAAGAATGATTTAAAGACTCGTGGTTCAGAATGCTGATACTCGTAATTTATTGATTCATGATTTAGCTCACTATTTGAATGTCTGACTTTTTTTGGTAGTGCTACCTCTCCATATTTGCAAAAGATAATTGAGATAAGCTGTTGGAGCTATTTTTGCATTTTGGATAAATGTATTTAGTCTAATATTACCTCAGATTAGTGGGTTATTACTTGATATTATGATTATTGCTTCATGTCAAATGTGCTTGATAAATGACTTTGATTTATATATTATAGAAATGTAATGAACATTCTCCATGAGTTGTAAGAGTCAAAAGTCAATGTCTCTTAGTGATCTGTAGGTTAACAGGGAGAGGAACTGTTGAATTTACAATTGAGAAAGGAGATGGTTCAGCTTTTTCCCCACAAGCAGGTGGTGAATCTAAAAGTACAGCTACAATTCAGGTTTGTTGAACCTTGATTAGTTTTGATGAACAAGTTTTGGTGCTTCTCTTGTGAACAATTTTATATTTAATTCACAAGATATATTCTCCCATTCTAACTTGAGCTTGTCAGTCTTCACTTGTGATCACCAATATTTCACATAAACAAAATTGGCGGATGAAGTCATACTGATATTATTGTCCATGTATCCAGGTTGTTGTGGATGGATATTCAGCCCCGTTGACAGCAGGGAACTTTGCAAAACTGGTAAGGTAGTTGAGCTTCAGCCCCACTCAAGCTAAGCGTACTTGAAGGATGTCTTTATACTGCTTTTACATTTTCATTGATGAGTTAGGTACTTAACCATATAAATGAAGAAAACTTTACAAATGGCGTAAAAATATTGTGTTAATCACCGATTAATTCAAAAGCTTAAATTGATGGGTTATGGTAAATCTAATTTCTATTGATACCTTAACACTCCCCTAACTTGCGGGCTTCAAAATTTGCCCAAGACCCAACAAATGGGAGGAAATGATGCTACAGGAGTTTGAACATAGGACCTGCTCTTATACCATGTTAAATCATTAATCAACCCAAAGATTTAAGCTGACGGGTTAAATTTAATCTTTTATAGATACCTTAACCTAACCTACTGATTGTGCATGGAAATTCATGATGTGTTTCATGTTATCCACTGAATTTCAGGTAATTGATGGAGCTTATGATGGGGCAAAACTCAGCTCTACTAGTCAAGCTGTTCTTTCTGAAAATGGTATTGATAAGAACGAAGGCACTAGTATTCCCTTGGAAATAAAGCCGTCGGGACAATTCGAGCCCTTATACCGGACAACCCTTAGTGTTCAGGTTTTGTTCATAATTGCCTTTGAAAATAACTTATTTTCCTTTTTGTTTTTCTTATATTATTTCCTCTACATGGAAGGACGGAGAATTGCCAGTTTTACCTCTGTCTGTGTATGGAGCAGTTGCCATGGCACATAGTGAAACTTCAGAGGAATATTCTTCACCATATCAATTCTTCTTCTATCTGTATGATAAAAGAAATGTAAGTTTGATACTTTATTTTGTTGATGTATTTATTTTCAAGCAGCTCTCATTCAATTCAAAGTGATCACAAGTCTGCATTTTCTTTGTGGTAATGCAATTCATATATTGGCAGTCTGGCTTGGGAGGACTGTCTTTTGATGAAGGGCAATTTTCAGTTTTTGGGTAAATAGTTTGACCTCTAAACCTTCTCTTCAACCTTTGAAGCTTCATTAATCTCTCTCTCTATACTCTTATTATGATTGATAGATATACAACTGTTGGAAGAGACATCCTTCCTCAGATCAAAACTGGGGACATAATTCGATCCGCGAAACTCGTGGAAGGTCGAGACCGCCTCATCTTACTGGATGAGAATTGATTCTCTCTCTTGTGTTCTTATCAAAACCAGATCTAGCAATTGGTTCTGTACATTTCTTGATTTTTGACTTGTGATTGTTTCATTTGTATTTGTTGGTAAAGTTTTGTTGCTGGTGAAATTAACTTGCAACTTAATTAATATTTATTGATCTTTTAGACTTTGAGTATTGTGAAGAGGTGATGCTGGTTGGCGAATCTCAGCATAATTTAAATTGGTTGAGACTTAAAATATATATTTTTGACCAAAATAGTAAGGTTGAAATCCTTCCTTTCTATTGGTATTGGTGTTGGTTTGGCGGAAGAAAATTACTTTCTTCCTCCTTGAAAAATAAATGGAAAAAAGTGCTATGGTTTGATTTGATGTATCATATTTTTAAATCAATAGGTTATAAAGAAAAATAAGAACGAGAAAACAATTTATAAAAACTTTTAGAAATTAAAAATAATAGAAACTAGTTTGTAAAACAGGTTTTAAAACAAAAAATAAAAATACACCAAAACAACTCCATTGTTCACTTGAAAAATAAATAATACCAATAATAATAAAATTTAGTGAGATTTTAGAAACAAAAAATAGATTTAAAAATTATTTTAGTACAACCAAAAATAGAAAACAAAATCATTATAAACAATCTAGATTTTCCCTTTGTTTTTTTTTCTTTGAATTGAATTCTCATAATTTGCTCAAGCCCCTCAACTTCCCTAGTTTGAGCCCTGTTAAAACTGAGTAATAACTTTTTTTTTTTCACCTCAAAGGCCAATTAGATATTTGTTCAAGACCTGTAATACACGTATTTATCTTTAAAAATTTTAAAAGAAAATATAATATTTGTCAATTCTTTTTTATTATTTATTTATTTTTTCTTTGAGTTGCCAATATTTTTTTATTATAACACCACGTAGATGTAAGATTGAAACTCACGATTTTTCGATTGGGTATAAAAACAAAAACAATAACTAAAGTTACTTAAAATGATTATAAAGAATATGATTGGTCTATCAAAATCATGAGTTATAGACATCTAAGTTAAAAAGAACTTAATAATTTAAAATCGTTATTGTCCTTAGAAATTAGCCGATGCAAGAGTATAGACTCGACGCTAAAATTATATATACATATATATATATACATAACAACGTAAACTCACAAACATTACGAAGATGTGGAGTTCCCTGCAGCTTAAATTTTATATGCAAATTCCAAACGAGGAAAAATAAAATAAAATGGTTTATAATTTATGTAGATTTTTGAATTGATAATTGTTTTTAATAATTTATTGATACTCACAAGGTGGAGATATTTGAACTACATGTCGTTTTCATCTTGATCAAGTTCGTCGGGCAATACTTTTGGGCCGAGTTGGCCCATGTGTGAATATCTGGGCTTAGATTCGTAGTCAGAGATTCCCACAATCACTTGTGGCCGGGATTCTTGAATCAGATCCGTCACAATCACAATCTCTTTTATTTTACTTCTCAGATTTTTCTATAATAAATATTTGGTCAAAATGTCCTCTATTTTCAAAGTAACAACTTCAAATTTTAATAAGTAGTTTAACCTAAATCCAAACGGATGAATTCGAATCTCCAGCCCATAGGTTATCTTATTATTTCTCTACTAGTTTGAGATTCAATCTCCTATTTACTTTTTTACTAAAAAAAATTATTAAAATATAATATTTGAAAATTTACCGATCATAATAGAATCAAAGTATTAAATTTTCATCGACATTTCTACTGTATTGTGTAAAAATCGATAACATGTAAAAAATATCAACATAATAATAATTAATCATCTTAACTCATTTAGAAACAATGAATTACTTATTTGTTAATTTAAATATTTATTATCAATTTTGTCTTTTTATAATAATTTTAAAAATAGATATTGATATATTATCAATATTTCCATGGAAAATTTCAGCTCCATATTTTCGTCATCAAGGTTTTTAAAACCTTGGATGTAATATTCTAAAAAATTGCATTTTTAATTAAATATTATTCTCTTTTTAAAAATTCAGAGACATTCTGTTTTTTCTCTCTTTTCATGGATGAATGTGATCCACTCACGGTTTTGTGTACAGTAATTGGCCGTCTAAAATCCTCTCCTATCAACGGAGAAAAAGTTCCGCTGCTTCGCTAACATCGTACACCCCATCAGCCGAAAATTTGACACCCTCATCATCACTGTCCATCAACAATCACACGCTGATGCAAACCGATAACAACGTAAAATCGGCGTATACGATTTCACCAAACAACCATCGTATATAATTTCCTTTCTCTTCATCGTTCCAACTCGGAGTAACGTCGTCTCGCAACTCAGTTCCTCCCGAGTCGAGTCGCGATTCCGCTCCGACGCGGCGCCGGCCATGGCTTCGGTCCACGCCACAGCTCCTCAGAGGTTCCCTTCCTTCCCCAGAGTAAAACAAGCGGCGCCTCATCCCAAAACAGTCGCCGCCCCCAATTTCCACCGCGCGCCGAAGCTTCCGCAGAGTTCGGTTTTCTCGATAAGCCGACGGAGAGAGAATTGGGCGTTGAAATCGGCGGCGGACGAGCTGGATGTTATCCCGGTGCAGACCGCGGATTGTACGGACCAGCAAGAGGGCGTTGTGGTGAGCCGGGTGGAGAGGGAAGGCGTGGAGGGAGAGCTGGGGAGTCCCGTAGGGGGATTCGGTGAGCTCTCGTTGGGTGGCGCTGGTGAAATTCAGGGGTTTTCTTCTTCTGGTTCTGTTGGAGACGGCGGTGGAGGAGGGAACGAGGAAATTGAGAGGCTGATGATTGATCGGATTATAAATGCTACAATTGTTCTGGCGGCGGGTTCTTATGCTCTCACCAAATTGCTCACCATTGATCAAGATTATTGGCATGTGAGTGACCCTTTTCAATTGTTGTATAGTTTTCTTTCTGCGATTACTTCATTGTTGGTGGAATTATCTAGTGAGAACCGCTTTGATGAAGCTAGTGTAGTGAATATAACTTGAATATTCTGTAAGAATGTTAGAAAACTATGTTCAATCTTAACGGGAGCAGCAGAAACAACTAGTTATTGATGAGGTTTTTTGGTTAACAAAATGGACGGATATGTGGTGAATGGTGATATCTGTATTCTGTATCAAGTTAGCTTAACTAACAGACAAGAATGAATTGGTTAATATTAGGCTGTAATTGATCTGCTTCAGCGAAAAATGGAAAAGCTGAAGAAGAGTTGCATGCTTTGCTTAAGTACCTTAAAGAGTGGTAAAAAGGCAATTATAGAGTATTTTTGGCTCAAGTAGTTGACTGTGAAGCATTAAGAAACACCCTTAAGATTGTAATTCCAAGTGCTGAAGTAATTTGTTATCAAACACTTTTTACATCAAGCCTTTGGTTAAAAGTTCTCATTTTAAATGCACTCTCAAGCACATTCTTAGTCTCATAATCCTTAAGGTTAAGCTCCATAATTTCATGGTTATATGAAACTGGTCCAAATAATTCCCCACCCCCAGTAATTCTTGCTACTCGTGTAGAAGTTAAAAATATATGATCTGATTGGCATAATTCGGGAAATTTTTAGTATAAAACAGTGCAGTGAGGGATACTCTTCAAGTAAATTTCACTTCAAAGTTCAAACGAGTCATCAAAATATATATTTTTTTTTTCTTTTTAACCTGCAGGGGTGGACACTTTACGAAATACTGAGATATGCCCCTCAACACAACTGGAGTGCTTATGAGGAAGCTCTTAAGGCTCACCCAGTTCTTGCTAAAATGGTGATTAGTGGAGTTGTATACTCTCTTGGAGATTGGATTGCTCAGGTAATTTCATACCATCAAATTTTTACACGCCCAAAAAAGCTTCTTTATGTGGCAATGTGAAGGGGTTTTCTCAAATATGACTTTCTTTTGCAGTGTTTTGAAGGAAAACCTCTATTTGAATTTGATCGAACGCGCATGTTCAGATCAGGCCTTGTTGGCTTTTCTCTACATGGTTCCCTTTCCCACTATTACTATCATTTCTGTGAGGTATGCCTTCTGAATTTTATTTTCCTTGTACATTGTTTTCAAGATGTCTCTTTACCTTAAAGGCAGACTTCAATTCGTTTGAGTTATAGAAAAATATTCCAGTCGCGTTACTTACCTCTACAGAAAAACCCTCCATGTTGTGTTTTCCAGGGTCTTTTTCCTTTTCAAGATTGGTGGGTAGTTCCTGCTAAAGTAGCATTCGACCAAACGGCATGGTCAGCAGTTTGGAACAGTATTTATTTTGTGGTATTAGGATTCCTGCGGCTCGAGTCCCCTGTTTCTATATTTAATGAACTAAAGGCGACATTCTGGCCTATGCTTACCGTAAGAGATCCTATCTTTTCTCTGAATGTTTACATTTTTCTGAGATTAGTGAGAATAAGACAAAACACATCCCTGAACTTAGTGGCGCTGATATTCATGCACTATCATTGAAACATTGGAAGACGAGGTCAAAATACTTTTTCACTCATATTTAAGCTGAATGAATCAATATAGGAACTAGGAAGTCCTTGGTCAACTAAAAAAGACACATTCAATATTTTATTTAATGCGGGAGAAGCTCAAATGATATGCTTATACATGTTTCGTCATTTTTTGTCAAGATCCTCTGAACTTATATTTTTATTATTTATTTATTTATTTTTATTAAGGCGGGTTGGAAACTTTGGCCATTTGCTCATCTTATCACATACGGAGTTATTCCAGTAGAACAAAGACTCCTGTGGGTTGATTGCGTAGAGCTTATTTGGGTGACCATACTCTCCACGTAAGCATACAGTAGTATCATTGAGTTACTCATTATATTTTAGAATGAGCTGAATTCAAGTCAAATCTTGTCTCTTGTCTGGCATGTGAACTTGTTGTGCAACATGCTTTCCTTTGATTGTGTAACTAGTTCTCTGATCCTAATGTTCGCTAATCTATCCGGTTGCTAGTTATTCGAACGAGAAATCGGAGGCTAGAATCTCTGAGGTAGCAACAGATTCCAGTTCGGATTCTCTTCCCACAGATTCAACTCAGGTATTTTGGTCTTAGAACACTTTTGATCAACCGTTTTACCAAGTATCAGTGACTGACATAACCATTTCCATTTTTCTTCCCTTTTATCAGGGGTAAGCTTGCAGGAAAGACCATGTACAGATCTGAAGATGAAACCATTTGTTGCTCGGTTCAACTTGAACGTTGAAGAGTATGATCGACTCTCCACATGGACTGCGATCCGAAATGGTATACTCTACATGTATAAATGGAATTGCAGCTGCCAATCTTGATTGTTGTATGTTGTCTAGAAATCTCTAAACTTGATTGTAAATGTCACATTACCTGTCCAATTTTCTCCTTTGATAGCCTTACCACCAACTGTAATATAGCGAAAATATATCAAAATCTTCCACTCATTGGTTCTTCAAGGTTTTTCCATGGTGCTAAGAACCTTCTTAACTTTTAAGTCATCAAACACTGCAGCTGTGGGGTCAATGGAGCTGACGAGAACCGCCAAGGCGCCAAGTCCAAGGTATACTTAGATGTTGTAGAGATTATAGGTCAAGTCATGGTAGCTACTGATTTTAGATATTAGATATCTTACGAGTTTTCTAATACCAATGGTCGTAGAATCAAGTGGTTAGTTCATGAGATTAGTTGAAATGTAGGTGAAACAACTCGAATCGATAGCATCAACCCTATCTTTATGCTATTATTCGTTTTTTTTTTTTTTTGACCTATTCCTTTCTTAAGAAGCTCACTGTATTATCTGGAATGTAGAGGATATTTCTTTTGGATGAGGTAAGGAACGAATAGGATCTCATTGAACATTGAGACCCCACATGTAGTACAAAGCAGCACCATTAATATTCTATCGCATGACTTTTTTCTTATGAGGGATATTCCAATGATTTGGTGAATTGCATATAATTTATCAGCAGAAACTTCTGGTTAAGTAAATATGATATATCTCTCATACCAGGGCTAAATCGGTAATTTCATCCCTCTCATCATGGCTAAAGTTCTCATTTGATCATTTGGAATCTTGTACTCTTGCAAGAAAGATAATAATGAAAGGAAAGGGTCAACTTTTACTCTTGAAGTGCATCAATTTTTATCTTAATTTTTTAATTTTATTAAATTGAACTTGTAATAAGTATTTTTTTTTTCATAAAAATTGTTAAAATCTAAAAAAAATAATTTATATAAAAATTAAGATTTACATAGTTTGATCATGCATAAAATCAATTATTAAATAACCCTTCTAAAATTTAAATTTTTTTTATTTATTTTTTGAATATGACAACTCTAATGTCATTATTATTCTAACATCTCGTCAATTTGATATTATAGATATGTTTTATAACTTATTGTACGCACAAAAGCCTAATGATTCTTTCCATGAAAATCTATAAAGAAGATGCAAATTGTAATATTTATTTAAGGTTAGTGTAAAGATTGCAACACTTAATTCAAGCTTAAGATGCAATTGTTAATTCAAGCTTAAGATGCAATTGTTGATGAAATTAAAAGCTGTGTAAAAATTGATATAAGTTACTAAGTTCGGTGTAAAAATTGATTCTTTTACTAATAACAATATGACTAATTAAATTACAAGTTTAGCCTTTGAACTTTTAGGGTTTGTATCTACTATGTTTTCAAAAGTGTTTAATAAGTTCATAAACTTTTAATTTTGTGTCTAATATACCTTTAAAATCTTAATTTTTTGTATAATAATATGTTCCCAATTGACATTTTTCAAAATTAGACGAATTATTGAACACAAAATTGAAAGGTCAAAGTCCCGTTAGCACAAAATTCTTAAATTTTAAAAACATGTTTGAATAGGTTCGCAACAAGAAACAAAATTAAAACATGGGGTACTAAACTTATAATTCATCCTAATAATAATATTTCCCTTCAAATTAGATTAGATAGAAGCAAACTTTCACCATCCCTGAAGTTCAATTTAAGTTAATTTCTTGAACTAAGTAAATAATAGATAAATTCTCTATGCTGCCTGATGAATAGTGTAGGTCTAGTATTAATATATAATTTATATCATATTAGCTGTCCCCGATGCCATGGCACTACGGACGGATAAAAACCGTCTGCGTGTACCATCTGGACAGCGTCGTGGCGCCCTATAACGACGTTGTCTTCTCGGTCCGTGTGACCTGCAACTTCTGCTTTTCTCCCATTTTCATCCCCGCTTCGACTTCAACGCATCTCGACTCATCCCTAACTCGTTCCGACATCGTTTTGACTCCACCAATTCCAACCACTATCCCTAGTCGATAGTTAGTAAGAAAGTATGATTCTTCTCGAGCTCTTGAAGTCTGATTAGCCTAGTACTAAATCTTCGTTTCCTTATTTGATCTTCAACTTAAAATTTTAGAATATTTACAATTCAATCAAATTAGGACAATAATCTAAGGATGTGATAAGAAATTGCCCAACAAGTACAAAATTTAAATTAAATACAAGGGTACAACTTTTGGACTCCAACAAAAAGTTAATCTTTATATTGCTCACATATAGCATATATCATAGGTAATAGTTACTATTGTCTTGGCCTATGACTTGAAGTTCCCCTACTTCTCAATAAAAAGAACTCCTTTAATTATCCCCTAATATTTTTTTTGACAGGATAATTATCCCCTAATAGCTCATATATATCTAGTAGATTAGCAATTACTCATTTTGTATATTAAATTGGCTGTCAAACATTCTCTTTATAAAATTTTGACATTTGTAAAAAATGAGATGGAAATCGACATATTTGGTCAAAACCACACCTATGCTAGAGATCATTTATGTTTTTAGGTATTGAATGTGACCCAGATATTAAATATCGATCTACATGTCGATACTTTTACATGTCAATGAATTTGGCATGGATATAGGAGTGGATAGATATTTTCATTGTCTCGTAAACAAATTGACTAAATATTTGAAAATATAAAGAAAATACCATAAATAAACACATAATATTAATAACAAAGAATTTTATACTTATTTTAGAAAGGGTAAAATGCTTATCTGTTAATTTAAATAATTTTTATAAATTTTTCTAGAAATATATATCGTTATTGAAATTTTATTGATATTTCCATGAAATTGAGACTTCAATTGGGTAATGTTATCAAACAATTCTTTCTCAAATCACATATTAGACACTAGAATTGATTGTCTTGTCATACAATAACATGGTTCGTGGAACTCATCGAAGAGCCCAATATCGAAGTGGTTGTATGTTCCCAAGGACATGAGACTCGATTGGGGGAGTTCCATGAGCGAGGAGAAGGGAACCCGAGAGGAAGAATCCGATCTTTGAAAGGGAAGAAAATCAACAATGTCACCGGTGAGAATACCGACGATTACACGGACTCTATACCAAATCATGAGCAATGATAAGATAAGAGGAAGATTTGAGTTATCTTTGGTTTTAGTTCGATAAGCTAATTTTAATTTTAAGTTTTTTTATTTCATTAAATTAAACCCTACACCTGAATAAATAGTGGGAGTAATACCAAAATTTTTTCTCTCTAAAAATTTGTTGCTAGACAGAACAAATTTTGTGGGTATATACTTGTTCTTCTAGTCATGTCCCATATTTTTTAGGTGAAAGTTTGAACCTTTTGTTGGTTTAAGATGTTGAAAATAATTTTTTTTTTAAAATCTTTTTCTTAATACCCATTTTTTGTGTGTCAATTTGTTCTTTTCAAAGGATAGAAAATGTTTATGCACATCTACTCAAATACTAATGCATGCTTGTGAAGCCCACAATCACATACAATGGCATTGAAATCTAAGTATTACATTATTTTCTCCACTTGAATTTTTTTTTTTACCCTATCTACATCAAAAGGAATACAATTTAGAAAAAAAAAAGGATTTAATGTTGTAAAATTATTAATGATAATAAAATCTATGTGGGGTCAGTAGCATAAAGAAAAAATTAAAAATAGATGAGGCTAATTAATTCATAGAGGTTTATAATAGGTAGGCTTGGAGTGGAAGTATCAATCACATAGCTAATTGCTTTTGATTTCTAATCCAAAATTAAGCACTAATAATTCAAAGCATTGTAAAGTTGTTTTGTACTTTTTCCTCAGAATGGAATGCAATTAAAAGAGGTGTTTAATATGGGGTAGTTTTAAGATAATGATTCCCATTTAGATAATTGTGGGAATGGTCCCATTTAGCCATAAAAAAATAAAAAATTATTATTATTTAAAAAAAAATATATTTTTAAATATAAAGAAAAAAAAATAATAAAAGCAACTTGTGAGGCAATATAGAGTGTCTCTTGTAGTCAATTTCTTTTGTGACCTCATGGAATATGCTTAGCTATGTCTTATCAATGTAATGAAATTAGAAAATGACACCGACACCCATATATATCTACTTAATGCTATTTTCCTTGTTTAGGATTAAAATAAAAATGATTTTCTATTTTAATTAAAGTTGGCATATTTGTGAGTGTGGAAAGAGTAAGAAATTTAATTCTCGAGATTTGATCTAAAAATCTTATCTGATTTTATTTTCTTTGGAAATGTAATTCAATTGGGGCATCACCCAAGTCTTTGATATACTTTGATTTTAATTTGATTTTGAAAAATCCAAATAGTTTTTCCCTAAAAATAATTTTTTGAGGAAAAAACTAGGGTTTAAAGAGGAAATAAACTAGACTATGACCACTTTGTTTTTTTTTTGTTTTTTGTTTAATTATGCTTATTTATTTACAAATTTCTTTTTTTTTTAAATTTATTTTCAGTTTTGGAATCCTAGCTAAAATTTTAAATTAGAAGTAAATAGTTAAAAAAATTTTGGCTAAGATTTTAAAATTTTTTAAATCTTAAAAAATAATAAAAATAATAATCATAAATTTAATTAATTTTCTGATCTGAATATAACTCAATGGGTCAAAACATTGGTTATCCTAGTTCAAATCTTCATTTCTACTTTTTGTTTTAACTAAAAAAAACTTAATTCATTTAAAAAAGACTAATAACATTATCTTTATTGAAATTAGACTATTGATTTCCATGCAAATCAAACCTCTTCCATGTTTTTTAGATATTTGTATGTAACTTTAATTTAGTATAAGATAAATCGTATATGAAATATGTTGGATAAAATGCTAAATTAATAAACTAGGAGAGAGATGTATCAAGAAAAATATCAGAAAATCATCTTATTAGTGAATACCTTGAAATATAAATGATAATTAGTGTGCTAATTCCTTAGAAAAGAAAATATATCATTTTCCTACCTTCTTTTTCACATAAATGTCCATGAAACAAAATTTCAACAGAAAGCGATATGTTTGTGAGGATCATTTCTAATCCATCCCGTGAGACAAAGGACAATTCATTCTTGAGACCAATAAATAGAAACAATTTCCAACAGATAGATTTGTATTTAACCTCAATAAGAGACATTAATAAAAGTTTAAATGTAAAAAAAAAAAAAAAAACTAATAA